AAATCACCGATACAAAGGATATTGGAACTAGATCAAGAGCGTTGAGAAATCCATCTTCAAAATATCTAGGAGAATTTGAAGTCCCAAGGACTAGATACCAATGATTAAGGCTTTCTCAATTCTTCTGAATCAGGACTCTTGACATTGTACTTCTTAGCACTCTTTCCAAAATCCATAATTACAAAACTTTGATGTTTGCAAGTAAAAGTCTTAAGTTCCTTAAAATTTGGTTAAAACAATGCTCATGGGTGCATGGATGCATGATGCAACAATCACACACAAGATCACAAGCATAAGGTTCATAGGTCCAACGTCACGAGCATGAGGTCGGAGGTACTACCCATAAGGTATGGTCTAAGAGTTATCACCTTCCGAACAAGGTTCTATAGGTTCCCAGAGTCTACATACTTCCTTCGAATATTACCAACTTCCCGATTAACTCGATAGTTAGTAATATTCTCAAGAAAAACTCATCCAAGCGTGGTATCGCGTGACAACTATTTCTAGATTACTCAGTCATAGCTTCCACACTACACCTAAAAAGGCCAAGATGGGTTTGGTATTTTACGGTCCTCAGCTTCAGCATGCTCCCAGGTCGAAAGAAGTACGTTTTCCCCATTACTCGTTAAACGATACTACCGTCAAAGGGGCCTCCACTGAGTGGGGGATCTCATGTCTCTTTTTTTTGGGATTACTCCCTCAAAGTTAACATGACTATACCGCCCGTCCTATCTTAAAGTTTCCCAAGTCTGGGTATAGGACTTATGAGAAATCACCAAGCACCTTGAAAACCAGGAAAATCCAGACAATCATATATATAACATATAATACAACAAAAATTAACACATATACAGATATAAACAAAGATAGGATCAACCCACTTAAGGAAGGACCAACAAGAGGTCAATCTTTCCCCAATAAAGCTGCCATTTTTTTCTATAGCAGTAGAAATGTATAAGACTAAGCCATTGGATTGACTTGACTTGTACAGATCAAAATAAAATCGCCACCATGCTTTATTGTTTCCAAAGGAATGGGAAAAGAGAGAATAACCCAAAAAGAGGGGGATAGATTCAAGGTAAGGGGGTTTGTTATGCAAAGGGAAGGTATTAGCACCCTAAACATCTACGGTACTCCGCAGGAACCTCTTTGTAAAATATGTATGTTTTGGCTCTAAAATGTTGTATAAATAAAGATGGTGGAGGTGAGAAAAGATGTATTTTTTTATAATATTTGCACCCGCCTCAGTTGCGAACCTTTAGTGCCTACGTACCACCTTCCGTGCAATAGGGGATCAGGGTACTCATAGTCCACCTTTAAAAGAATTAAAACAAACACAAGTGTGTTGGTTAACTTTATGATATAAGACGTCATCGTCATTGTCCGTGTGGAAAACATACTTACTACCCATAATCATGAGAAAGGAGAATTTGTATCATCTCAAAGTGGAGGATATGGCTTGGATTTTAAAATCAACAATGCCTCACTCAACACCCAAGTGGAAAATATCTCTCTGCACTACATATTGTAGAAGTATAGTTGTTTGCATCACTACAAGGATTGACAAGAGTCTAACCTTTTTGAGAATTTTTTTTAAAGTAAAAGCCAAAGTGGCAAAATTATTTGAATGAGATTGGTTAACTTTTAGTCTTCTCACAAAAATGTCAAGGTATTATTAAGTTTATTGGAGTTTGTTTAAGAAAATGTTTTGAAAATGCATGGACCTAATTCCAAGTTTATTATGAAAGTGGTTCAAGTTTAGAAATAAGAAGAGTTTTCAAAAGGAGGGAGAATATTTTTATAATTAAAGAAAATGGGAGGAGATGAAGAGACTATCCTAAAGTATAATGTAAAGGCTAAGGACAAGAACCATCTAACCAATAAGAAGTCAACACTTAACATTATGAGTCAAGATAGAATTCCCATTCTTTGGATGAAACCAAGAAAGGATACTAAACCTCTTGAGAAAACCAAACTTCAAGTGTATTAAGTCTTCACAAAAATTGGGCAGAGTAATGGATGTACACAAATGAATTCCAGATTACAGACAAAGTACGTAGTCACAATAACATGCATACAAAACAAACAAACAACCCAATGTCTTGAGGTAAACCTCAAGAACTCCAGACAAAATATCAATTAAGGTCACAAGGTCTCCAACATAGGTCAAGGTTTCTATTCCTAAGTCCAAGAATTCCAATACTCCATAATCCCAAGCATAGTAACCAAATAGTCCAAGTATCATTAATGTTTTTTATGGTTCATGTTGATTATTAAGTGTGATACGGTGGCAGAACTGACTGTTATACTGGTTTTGCATTTTTTATTCGCAAATGTTTTCGGTAAGCAAGAGTCTCCACCGACATTACTTTTATCCAACAAAGGAAATGGTGAAAAGAACAGAAAAGACCTTTCTATAGTTTTATGAGTAAGGGGGTAGATTAGGGAAAGGGAAGTTGTTAGCACCCTTTCCATCCGTAGTTATCTACGGGCTCTTAGATGCTTAGCTCATGTTGAAATACCTTGTGCTTTGTGTGTTTTGAAAAGTATTTTTGAAAGTGCCTTAGTGTGGCGGTTTGCGTTATGATAAATCTTGTATCAGTCCTCAAGAGTGTTGATAAAGCATTTGAAAATGTTTATGAAAGTTGTTTTGTGTAAGTGTAAAAATTTGTTTTTGAGCAAGCATCTAACAGTTATCTACTTTTACTCCAAAGGGTTGTTCTTTTCCTCTTTTCCTTTAGACAGTGCTATCATACTATTAGCGAGTATGTAGCCCTCCCGTTAGATGTTTGAGGGACATTCAAAGGGAAGTTTATAGTCACAAAGGAAACTGGGCAAAAAACCTTAGTAACTACCCTAGAGTTTTAAGATCACTTTATCGAGGCAATGTCGAGAGGGTCATCGAGGGAATTGTGATCTTTACACCGAAGGTTAGCCACTAAAATCTCTCACGTTTCGAGAGTTGTGAGTGTTTTCCGAAGGCAACCAAAGTGGGAGTACCCTAAAGGTGCGCATGTGCAATTGTATTGTGTTTCAATTATTTATCTTGATGTTAGGTTTTGCTAATGTTTGATTTTGATCTCTTGCCATACAATCCTATTAGCATACATCTAAACAGTTAATATATGTATAGGAAATATAAAGTGCAAAAATTAAATCCAACGCTATTACATCCTGTGGGATGTTACATAATAGAAAAATACGGAAAAATAAACTAAACTATTACAAAATTTCTCATGCAACCTATACATTCTTTCTAGAATTTAAATGATAATAAATAGAAAAATGATAAGTAAAAATATAAAAATGTCCTGAAACCTTAAGTATTAAGAATAACGATTTTTTTGGTATTTTTGAGAAATAGAACTAAAATTGATTAGAATATTAAGTCTATTGATTTTAAATTAAACAAAATGTTAAAGTAATTAATTAATTAATTAATTTACATAATTAGATTAATTAATAAAAATACAAACCTAATGTTTTTTTTTGTGATTTCATTTGGTTTTTATAATTAAATAAAGAAAATATTTTTTTGAAGTTAGCAAACTAAAAAAGAATGAATGAAAAGGGATAAGTGAGCCTAGTACTGATTAGAAAACAGAGAGGGGGGGGGGTATGATCTAAAAACGTTGGACCCAAACAGACCAGGACCCAGGAGCTGCGATGGATCTTGTGAGGCTGGCCCCTTGAGGGTTCATCATGGGGGAGTGCTTCTGGAGAGCCGTGTAGCGATAAAAAATGTAGCGGGGTAAATCAGAGATCGAGCTATTAGTTAACTCGTCTCACAAGAGCAAGAGTCACCACCGCGCTTTATTATTTCCAAGAGAAAAGGGAAAAGAGCGAAATAAAAACCTAAAATATGCAATGTAAAATAATACTTTAAAAGTAATGAAAATACAAGGCGTTTTTGAAAAGAGGTCTAGAGTTCGGGAGTTGGTTATACAATGGGAAGGTATTAGCACCCAATGTATCTATAGTATTCTATAGGAACCTTTTGAAATATCTGTTTATTAAAAATGTTAGTTTGATTAAAAAATAAATTGCTTGGCCAAAAATGGGTATGGACGAGTTTTCGAAGATACGGTGACCTAACGTCAAAGTTTTGACTTAAAAGTGTGAGTTTTGAAAAATTGAATATTTGGGAAAATTATCTTAAGTTTTTAGCGAAATAACAAACGAAAGATGAATGAGGGTATTCACACTATGTTTTTGATGACATGAAGTCGACAAAAATTAAACAATTCCCTTGGATTGAGACGGACGAAAGATATGTGGATTAACGACCGATTAATTAAAATTGCAATTGAACAATTAACTAATGAAATTTAAATCATACTAGCATGCATTTTAACGATTAAATAAATAATCAAGTACATGAAGATTAAATTACGAAATCATAGATTTTCAATAATTAAACACATAACGAAGTTAAATCATGAAACATGTATTTTTTTTTGAATAATTAAATAAACAACCACACAAAATAAAAATAAGAATTAAATAGTATGTTGACAAAATTAAATAAAAGATGAAATTTAAATTAATCATTTTTTTATGTGTTTTTTATACTAAATAATAATTATACAGCAAACTAAATTAATGTATATAATCAAGTATATTTAAATAAAGGGAAATATGGCCAAAATAATAAAAGACAAAAAAGGGTATTGAAAACTTGAACCAAAATAGGCCCAATGGGCCACCGGGTCATGGATGAAACGAAAAGAACAAAATGAGAGGTAACCCTAATACTAAGTAAGGGCGCATGCTGCTGTCTTCTTGGAAGAAGGAAAGAAAAAAATAAAATTATGTTGTTACTGCTTTTTATTGGGAGAAGGAAAAGGCTAGGTTTTAATATTATTACATTTCAATAAAACAAAACAGTAAAGCAACGTCCTTCCTCTCTCTCTACAGATCCAACCTTCTTCTCCTCTCTCTCTCACGCCATCAAACTCCTTCTTCTCTCTTCTACAGATTCGTCCTTCTTCTCCTCAATCTTACACATTCAAACTTTCTTCTTCCGACTGTCCACTAAATTTGTCCATCGCATTTGAAACAGATTTCCATGGTGAATCCTCATCATTATTTCCCATGATTCCTTTAACATCTTTTATGTTTCGTTTGGTTTTGCACAAGGGGCATTTTGCGTATTCTGTTGAGGAAACCTCGAGCATTGTCCCGCACAAGTTACAGAACAAGAAATCGCGACCACGGGAATACACCATTGGGTAAGAAATGGAGCGTTAATGGTAAAAGGTACTGTTTGGAGCTAACAAAATGTATGACTACTTTGAGATATGAAGTAAGTGCAGATATTTGAACAACGGAGAGAAGGGTTACGCCGCTGCCAGAGAGAGAAAAGGTGAATGCAGCAGCACCGTTTGTTCTTTTCTCGTTCTGTTTATTCGGGAGAAAAAAAAATCACCCAAAAACAAAGGGGTTTTATTGTGCATGGTTTTGGTAGTTCAAAATTTTTGTAAGATTTAACAGGTTTGTGGTTTTAAGTTGCTGTTTGGGATTTTTGCAGGTTACCGGTTTTGAACAGATTGGATTTGGGATTCTAAAAATAAATGGTTTTTTTTTGGATTTTTATATTTTTGTAACAGCAAAAAGATAACAAGCTTTTTTTTAGACATCAACAGCAAAAAAATAGTTTTATGGATATTTGCAACAACAAAATATTTTTGGATATCTGGATATTAGAACAACAAAATATTTTTTGGATATTGTAACAACAAATATTTTTTGGATATTGTAACAACAAATATTTTTTTGGATATTGTAACAACAAATATTTTTTTTTGGTTTTTATAACAACAAATGTTTCAAAATTTTTGTGACAACAAATGATTTGTGGACTTTGAGATTTTGTAAAGCAAAAAAGGATAACCAAGTTTTTGGACAGAGAAAATATTTTGGACATCAAAAATATTTTGGCCAACAAAGGTGTTTTGTACAGCAAATTCTAAACAAGTCTTTGGGACAACAAAGTGTTAAATCGTTATTACGCGACGGAAGAAGTAAGCTTTTTATTACACTTGTTATTATTATCGATATTATGAATACTAACATGTTTAAATGCTAACAATCATACAGTAACTTAACTCAAATATAGTACAACAATGAAAATAATGATAAGGCAAATACTGCATGGCAAAGAAAAAATGGTACAGCAAGTGATTCAAGCATGAACATATGCAACAGTAGATAGAGAGGAGAAGAAGAATAATACCTATCGAAGCCTCTCCGATGGGGCTTCTAACAAAATGGTAAGCTTCCTTGAGTTTCTATCTTTTCTCCTTGCTGGATTTTTCTTAGAACAACACTAATTTTCTGTTTTCACTCTTGTTGAAACTTTAGAACAACACACTATTTTTCTGGTTTTTCTTATTTGCTGAATTTTCACCCCTTTTTTATGTTGACAAAGGCTCTTATTTATAGTGGAGTATGTGGGATTTGAGGGGGAAAAACAGTAGAAATTTGAACTGTTTTGGAAAGCTGTTTCTATGCTTTGTTCCTACCATTCATTTTAGCCATTTTGATACAAATTGCTGCTACTTTGATGCCGGTTGGAGCAGGTTTTTGGCAGCACTTGGAGCTGCTGTATGTTGCTGTTTTTTTTACTGTTTTGTAGCATTTTACAACATCTCTATTTGCTGTTTTTTTCCAGGCTGTTTGGAGCATTATTGACCAAAAAAAATACAACAAAATGGGCTTGAAGAAAGGTTGCAAACATGGACTACATTAGCAACTTTGCTGAATTTTTTTTTATGTTGAAAATACATTTGTACACACTTGTAGCTTCTTGCAACTTTGTAATAAACTACAATAAATTGTAACATGAATAAACATGAATTCTTCAATATATTTTCCATTCTTTGGTAGTTATGAATAATCTCGAATCTTCACATAAACATGAATATTGATATATCTTGATAAAAATTCAAGATCTTCCATTTAAATTTGGGAAATAATTGAATAATACTTGGATGAATTGTTGAATGAAGAATAAATGATAATGCAAGTCTTGGACTTTAATCTTGCACTTTTCTAATAGAAATCCAAATAAATCACATGGATTAATCTTGTAACCAAATAAAATTCCTCATGTAATTAAATAGAATTCCCCACTAACTTCTTGAAATAATGCTTCATGTATTTAAATAACCATGATGTAGATCCACAAAAAAATAATCTCACAAATAATCTTGAATAAATATTCCATGTGATAAATGAAAATTTTGGGATGAGATCTCTTGATAGCTCCTCTTTAATTATCACTTGAATTCAAATAAAAAATTCCAAAAATTCCGAATAAATTTTTCTAGAACAGTTTTGAATTTAATTATCCCATTTCGGTGAAATTCAACCCGCGTCGTGAGAAAATTTGCAGATGACTTTTGGTCCAAGAAATCGAAAATGATGGTATAACCTGTTTTTCTTGTATTTTAGAACAATGTGAAACACACATGAACCAAAGCCGGTAGAAATTTGACTGTTCTTCCTGAAAAATATTCGGAGAAAAACGAAGACCATTTGCTGGACAGAGTGTGGAAATAAACGCACAATTCTCTGAAATTCTTTGATGAACCAGTCTTTTGGAAATTAACGAACGACATCATTTCTATTCTGAGACTCGAAATCCTGATCGACGTATAACGTCTAATGCTCTTCTTTCAGACCTATTTTCTACACATGAAAATAAAACAGCAAAACATACACTTCATGCTTGATTAGTGGTTAGTCATTCATAAAAATGCTCACAACACTCGATAATCTCTACACAGTCAAAGCTTGACAGCGAAACGTTCGAAACCTACCATATTCTATGACCTTGATGCATATGAAAAATAATGCAAATGAAGCAGGGATCTTAGGTCAAAAATTGGGGTATGACAGCTGCCCCTATTTAAGTTTCTTCTATCCGGAGATATGAAGATTAAAATCTTCGTCTCGACGAGATTGAAGGTACTTAAATACATAATGCGCAATTTTTTCCCTAAGATACCGCCATTATGTGTATGATACAGATGTACTATTTAAATTCATAGAGAATGATACTGTATGAGACAAAATAATGCTGGAGAAACTAAGCACCAACAAACCACAGGAACATAGATTATACACTATTGGGGAAATGAGTCATCGACTTCGAATGATAGACTCTTAACGGCGAATAAAATTTGAGAGAATACGACCTGTGACCCTAACAAAGAAGGCGCCTTGCATAGGCCACAACAAACAGATTATTGACCCAAAATAACGGTGAGTTCACAACTCAAGGTCAAAGATCGACAAAAGATGTATCAATTTTGCTGATAACGAACTACCGACTTCTGAAGGCAAAGACTCACAACAAATTTTTCTGTGAATTTTTTTTGGAGGGATACCAATTAATGTTGAAATAATAATATGGTTGTAGGTACAAGCTGCTCAAATAAAGAAGCTGCCACTTGCTGTCGTTCAAAGATGTCTATAACATACAAGCTGCTCAAATAAAGAAACCGCCACTTGCTGTCTTCCAAAACTAATATGACATACAAGCTGCTCAAATAAAGAAGCCGACACTTGTTGTCTTCCAAAAATACTATAACATACAAGCTGCTCAAATAAAGAAGCCGCCACTTGTTGTATTCCAAAGAAGTCTATAACATACAAGCTGCTCAAATAAAGAAGCCGCCACTTGCTGTTTTCCAAAAGATATGATAACGCACAAGTTGCTCAGGAAGAGACCGCCACTTGCCGTTTTCCAAATATAATAATAACACACAAGTTGCTCATGAAGAGACCGCCGCTTACCGTTTTCCAAAAATATAATAACGCACAAGTTGCTCATTAAGAGACCGCCGCTTGCCATTTTCCAAAAATATTTCAGAAGAAAGTTGCGATAACACTGCCAGAGAATAAAATCTTCTTCAAAGGGAACCATGAATAGATCCTTCTTGAGGAGATCAAATACTTAAATGTGCAAAATAAATGCACCATTCATCTAGGTTGTTTAGCTTAGAGAAAACCACGAGATAGCCTATGCACGAAACAAAAAAAAACTCCCTCCAGGAATAAACCAGAGAGAAGACAGTCAAACAAGACTCCACCCTATGAGAAAATAACTCAATTGGGGATTCATCCTATCCATAAATGGACAAGGAAGGCTAAATCAAAAATTCATCCACGAGGATTAGCTCAGTTGGGGAATTTAGAAAGGAAGCACATTTTCTTCCTAAGTTAAAATTCTACTTGGATAGAACATGTACGATGTTGAATAAGCATAAACAAAGTATACAACCCAAAAATCAACGACAAATATGGATATGCATGCGTGATATAAGTGTAAATGAGTAAATGAATGTTATGCTGACAAAACAGGCAGATGGAATATCTTGAAGATGATAAGATATCACGAAATAATAGATACTCGGCCAATCTTAAAAAGACGGAAAATAACTGGAACTGGAACCAACAAGCAACGTCAGAGCGTATCATGCTACAAGGCTCAAGTCTTCTGGGGAGAAAAGTATTCAAATCCAATCTTCTAATCACCAATAGACCACTAACATGATACAAAATGTACCACACCTCAGAGATTTGCTCAAATAAAGATAACTGAAACAAAGCTTAATCGGAATGCTGGGGAGTCACCAAACTTAGTACCACTAGAAAACAAGTTTACACAACCAACACCTCATGACGATTTTGAAAGAAACATGTTCATCATGCAAGGATTAATTACTATATTATTTTGCATTTCATGGCTTGACCATCCTCGGGACAACTGTTAATATTCCTTTCAGTATTCACGACGTATTTAAAAAATAGGAATGCATTAAATAACTTTGTTTCAAATATTGCCGAAAATTAAAATTTTGCCCACAAAAGGTAAATGCTCAAATTTCATTAATAAGATGGTAGTTTGCTAACAACGCGACTCCAATGGTTTACAAAAGTTTGGGAAATAGTACATGAAAGAAAAAAGTTACACAAAAACAATGATCACTATTCTCCCTAACAACTTCGAATTATGAAATGTGCTCAAATGCCAAGACTGGTCTGACCAAAAGCTTGCCTAAGCCGCCCCTTCGGGTTTTCAACTTAGAAAACTGTCAACTCAAACCTAGGCGTAATACTTCTTGACTGCATCGACGTTCATGGAGCACGGGAGCTCTTCACCGTACATATTTGTGAGAATCATGGCACCTCCGGAGAAAACCTTCTTAACAACATACGA